AGACGCAGGCGCGTGGCCCGGGCCTGGGCTCCGCTGCCGCGTCCGCGGGGTCCTGGGGGTCCCCGCCCGCCTGTCCTGGAGCCCTAGCGGCGCCCGAGCGCTTGGAGAGCAGGCTCCCCGACATGGGTCGTCCCTGGGTGACACCCCCTTACTGCGCCGGGGTGCAATCGCTCCCTCAAGTGTCGCAAGGGAGAGCCCCCGATGCAGCCCTTTGGACGCCGTCCCAAGCCTGTTTCGGAACGCAGACATCCCCACAGCCCAGGAACCAGGCCACGCCCTGGACACCGCCCCCCACGGCCCCGGAGGTGGCTGCCATGTACCAGGTATCGCCGTGGCCCTCACCACTTCCCTGGGGTGGTCCCCCGGCTTCAGTTGGAAATGGACAACGGGTGGGTAGACTCTAATCTCCTGAGAATCTCATACTTTTTACATCCCTTTTACCTAACGCAACCCTGATTAGGGGTGGAGAGAAGCTGAGGAGAGAATGGAGAGGATGCCAGCCTCCTCGGGGAAAGAGGTGGGGTCCCAGGGAGTTAAGGTCACCTCCACCTAGAAGTCTCCACAGCTTTGTGGAAGAGGGAGGAGTCCTCAGACTTGCTACTTCCACCCTGGCCTCTGGAGGTGGCAGGGGCCACTGTCAGGAAATGCTTTCCAAGTGTGCCAGTAAGGGTTGCCGGAGGAGGGGGGGGTGGCCCCGGGGTTAGGGGCTTCCTGATTAGATCACTAGCTGGTGATCTCTCCACGTTTTCTTCAAGCTTCATTCGTTCATGGGCCTCGTGAATGAATGAATGAAACGTGATCCATAAAAGAGCATATTAATAACCAAAATTTATTGAACGCCTACTGTGTCCCCCACACCATTCCCAGCACTTTACATGTGTTGACTCATTCCACCTTCCAGCAATCCGATGAAGTAGGTGTTATTATCCCCATTTTACAGATGAGAAAACAGACTAAAAGAGGTTACTGAGTTCTCAGAGCTAGTGAGTAGCAGAGCTGAGATTTGAACCCTGGCAGGTACTCGTAATCACTTGGCTTCACTGCATTCGTGGTGTCAGGGCTGTTCAGAAGCTGCCAGCCACATTCTGGGGAGCATCCAGGTTTGCGATCTCAGGGTATCTGGCAGTGGCCCACTAACCAGCTGCCCTTGTCTCTCTTGCAGGGTATCTCTGGGTCTCAGGAATCCAGTCTGTTGCCAGAAAACCCACCCCTCCTGCCCCGCCCAACATACCAGAGACTCCAGCCTCAGACCCAGTGGGGATGCTGGAGCCACAGTGCAGAGGTGCTGCCCAGCTCGGAGGACCAGGAACCAGGCCCTGCCTTCCAGCCTAGTGATGAAAGCCCTCTCCAGAACTCAGGCCTGCAGCTCAGTGGCTGCCCTGAACTTTGGCAAGAAGATATAGAGGGGGGTCATTTAGGCATCTTCTACTAATGGCCTTGCCTGTCCCCTTTCCAGCTAGGAGTCAGTCCCATAGCGTGGGCCCCTCATTTGTGACGTCAGTGGCTTTTGAGCTTTACTTTAGCCAAGAATCCGTTTTTCAAGTGATATCTTTCATGGAAGCAGTGTCTGAAACATAACTGGTGGCCTCCTGGGCTGGGGCTGGGGCAGTGCCCTCCACTCCTTGCCACCCCCCAGAATGACCAGTGCCCCGCAGAGCATAGCCTGAGCTATAGTAAGACAGTAGCTGCTTGACCATGAGGTTGGCAGGGCTGGGACTGGTGGGGCAGTGGGTTCAGAGGGGAGGGTTGGGGTGAGGGCAGAAACCTATGCTTTGATTTTGCTTTTTTTAAAAAAAAAAAAGACAACAAAAATTTGGTTTGGTCTGTTTTTCTTCTATCAACCTGGGTTTTTATGGTCTCTGGGAAAAGAAAAATGTTCCCATACTGTGGGGACCAATTCATGGTGCTCTTCCCCTTCCTGAATCCAGGCCTACCTACCAAGGTTGCCGTGGGCCCTCACATGCCAATTGGACCATATATATTGCACAGGGACTCCATCTGGCCTGCTGTGCAAGGCGGCACAGGTGGGTTGATACTTGGACCTGTTAAACTTGCCTCAGATCCATCACTGTTGCCGTTTTCCATCCTCGTAAGTGCGTTCCTGCTGTCCCGTAGGGCTCTTTCACAATAACGTGAAATTGTTTCCATAGACGCCTGTCGGTAGCTCCCACGTCCTAGGCCGGCGTGTTAGTTTGCTCGGGCTGCCCTCACAGAATACCTCACAGAACAACAGAAATTTGTATTCTCACAGTTCTGGAGGCCGGAAGTCCAAGATCAAGGTGTCAGCAGGTTTGGTTTCTTCACATGCAGATGACCACCTTCTTTCTGTGTCTTCACATGGTCACCCCTTGGCCTGTTTGTGTCTTAATCTCCTCTTCCTATAAGGATACCAGTCATTAGGGTCCACCCATTCAAACTCATTTTACCTTAATCACCTCTTTACAGGCTCCATCTACCTCCCAGATGGGTATGGACGTCAGAGCCCTGGCTCCTTGTCTAGTGCTCTTTCCTCCCCAAGAAAACCCAAGGTCTTGGCTCGAGTCTCACAGCATCTGCCCCGAAGGCAGAACTAAACAACTGCCCATCGCCTTCCCTTGGCTCCCACCCATCTGGGATCAGTCTTACAGGAACAGAGAAAAGTCTCCCTGGTCCAGTCACTGACAGTCATGCTCCCCTGCAAGGGCTGGAGTGTAACCCAAGAGAATCTTGGCCTTCGCCAGCAGTGGCCAGAGCCAAGTGTCCTCTAGAACTTGGCAGCCTTGTTCTCCCAGGGGCTCTTCTAGGAGGCACCAAGGTAAGGGCGAAAGGCTGCCCCCACCCCAGCTGGAGTTGCCTGTGAGACACCCTACATGCTGCTGGAGTAAGGGGAGCAGGGCCCAAGGGCACTGGGCTAATCGCCACCCCTGTCCTCGCCCTCTGCAGGAGAAGGCTCAGCCCAGCCTCTTAGGAACAGCAGGCCCCTTGGCCCTATCCACCTGGTCCACGGCTCCATCCTAGCCATGCTGTTCCTGACTGCACCTCTCTGCTAAGTAATTAGCAGGGGACAGGGGCTGATGCTGGTGCCCTTCCTCGGATGACTACCCACAACTTCTTGGGGACCCCAGTCACCATCTGTGAGGCTGGACATTTGCTGAGAGCTTCTCCCAAGCTTTTTGATGATCTCACAGTGTAGAGGCCATGCCTCCTGAGGAGGGGAGTGGGGAGAGGGCACTGCCCCCCATCCCCCTAGCCCCTGCTGCTTCTTGCTGATCCGTAGGTCCTGCCTTTTTTCATGGCCTTGAGCACCAGACAGGGACTTAGCAGCCTGGCTTCTACTGGGCTCCTGCTCTGTGTGAGACCTTGAGCAGGGTTCTGCACGCAGATCTCTGGCTCTGCGTGTCCTTGCTGCGGCCCGAGAACCAGTTTCTGTCATCCACACAGGGCCTTATGAATGCCATTGTTTTCAGTTGTTAGGTGGCCTGAGCATATAATGTGTGGATGTCACAGACCCTGCCCCAGCTCCAAATGGAGACCGGCTCCACTCATGCAGAGACAGGAGAGCCAGTCTCAAGTTTCTTCCATCTCTCTCTACTGAATTGTGACTTAACCTCCATGAGCCTCAGTTTTCTTATCAGCAAAACTGAGATAAAGACTGTCCTGGTCTCCTGGGACTGCTAGGAACCACAGGTGATAATGCGCATAAACACTTAGCCCAGTGCCAGGCACAAAGACCAGGATCCTCACAACTCAACTGCCTGGAGGCCAGCTCTCCGCCAGGGACACTAGCTGGTGGGCTGACCCCTCCCTAAGCAGGGACCACCGGAGGGGGCCTGCACTCTGGTCCCCAGAATGTCAAGTGCCAGCCGCTGCTGCTGGGCACTGGCGACAGGAAGGGCTAGCCCGGAGGGGCTGGGTTGGAGGGTGGAGGGACCTGGTTGGTGGAGGGACCCTACCCCGTCCAGGGCTGGCCCCACCCCACCCTTTGATGTGTGGACACCAGTGGAGCACAGGGGGAGCCTTTCCGGGCCTACCCCATGGCATGGTGAGAGGACGTGTGGGGCCTCGAGTCAGGAGACAGGACTGAGGACCACAACAGCAGCCAGTTCTCCTTACCTGTCAGGCTGAGCTGGGACGTACACGACTCCTTCGATGCACACACCAACTCTCATCAATCATCTTTGTTCGTGCAGATGAGGAAACTGACGAAGTCCAGGGGTTTTGGTCATTTGTCCAAGGAACAGTGGCTGAGCTATGATCTGAAACCAGGCCTCTGGACTCCAAGGCCCAGCCCAAGCAGCTCACTGAAGGTGTCTACTGAAGCCTCTCTCTCTCCCCGCCACCAGCCTCGGATGCTCAGCTGGGCCTCATGGGGCTGAGGCCAAAGTGAACTTCTTACCACCTAACTCCTTTTGTCAAGAAATTCTGAGCAAGTCCAATGTGGGCCGTGGAGCCCATGGGTCCCAGGCCTTCTCCTAAGAGCTGGCCCTAACCACCGGCTCCCCAAGGTAATCAGGATGGCACCAGCCCTTTTCTGTACACTACAGAAAACAATCGGTTTATGAACTGATATCGCAGCCACCCACCATGCATCCCAGAGAGGCACCTGTGCCCTTGGCCAACAAGTGGTCACACCATGCCTGAGACCTAGGGTTTGCTGCCCTCAGTGCAAGCCTCTTTCTCTTACTGTCCCAGGTGTCCCAGTTGTGTTGGCTGCGGAGCAGGAAGAGGGCCCAGCCAGCACCCTGTTCCCTTGCCTCGTGTTAGGGTAGGTACAAACCCTAGTTTCCGGAACTGTGGAAACTCCTGCTTTCTGGAAGAGCATTCCCTCGACTATCAGGACCTGATCTGGGCCTGGTACCAAGCCCAGGCTTGCCCCATTCTGCCATGGGAACCATGTGTCTGGTCACCTGCCCTCCACCTCCCTGTGGTTCCCCAGCACCCAGCTTCTCAAGCCCGCCATGGGAATTCAGATGAAATGAACACGTGGGCTGACATCACACACAGGAGTTCTGTAGGAAGGACCAGCAGGTGGACACTTCTCCCCTCCCATGCTCCCTGGGGTTCCCAGACCACCACAGTGCCCATACACCCCAGATTCCCTCCATCCCAGCCTCCCCAGTCGCTGTACAGACCCACTCCTGCTCTGGGATAGTAATGAGTCTGAACGCTCATCTAGAAATCCTTTATCTACATTTTCTTTTAGAAAAAAATATACAGATCTGGTGCCCTATTGAGTCCCCAGTTTCAGGGTTCTTACGAGAAGGTGAGGAAGAGCTCATCGCAGTCCCCACCAAGGCCATCCATAGTCCACTGAGGGCTTCTGCTCATCTGGCCCTGGAGCTGGGCTTCCCTGAGATCAGCCCCAGGACTCTTGGTGACAGGGACCATGCCAGGCCTGGGGTGGGGTGGGCACGAGGGCCGGGGGGCTGGGTGGGGGGCGCTTGGACAATCTGGCCATGAGAGGGTGGACCGGATCCATGGGCAGAGTGGAAAGAATGTGGGCCAGATACTTCGTCCCTGAGGGGAGGGTGCTGGTGCCTCAGGCTCCGGGAATGGGGTTCCTGCCGTGGGCCACTGGGACAGACACACGCGGGCATCTCACGCGGGGGCCAGGTGACTGTATGGACCAGGGGACTATGTGCTGTTTTCTGTGAACCACGCGAGCACCACTTCCTTGTTTTCCTTCACCCACTTGATGTTGGCTTTGGTCTTCTCCAGGGCTTGCTCCATGGCCCGGGTGGCAGAGCCGAAGCCTACGTCCTTGTTGTTCTCCTGGAACTGCTCCAGCTGTGGGGAGGGGGTGGGGTGGGGGGGGGAGGAAGATCTTAGCCCCAGGCTGGGGGCTCTAACACAGCCTTGAGGAGAAAGCCACCCAGTTCTCTGCTCACCTTCCTGCCTGCCACTCCCCCACCACACACATACACACAATGGGGACCACAGCCTGTTCTCTAGAATAGGAAGGGCTAGTCCTTCCCTCTCCCTGGGGCAAAAGCCTTATCTAGTGCAGGAGTCAAAAATGACAGCCCCAGGGTTAAATCTGCCTCTTAGATGTATTTAGCCTTCACTGTGTGGTTCTTCATTGAGTTGACCCTCAGTTTTTAACGGAATTACAATCGCAATCCAATAAAGGGAAGACAGAGGGACCAAATAAACAGACACCACATGGGAACCGCCAAATTTAAAATGTGGCCTTGTGCGTACTACACATGGCCCAGCTGTCTCAGCAAATAAATGGTATTTTTTAAAAAAGAGATGTGCCAATGTAAAGATGTATTAGCACTAAAGGTTGTAGCTAGGGCAATTAGACAAGAAAGGAAGAGGTAAAACTATCTCTACTTGCAGATGACATGATTTGGATAGAGAAAATCCTAAGAAATCTACAAAAAAATAGAACTAATGAGTTCAGCAAGACTGCAAGGCACAAGAGCAATATATAAAAGTTAATTGTATTTCTACATACTAGCAATGAAAAATTAAGAAAAGTTTCATTTATAATACCATCAAAAAGAATAAAATACTTAAGGATAAATTTAACAAAAGAAATACAAGACTGGTATGAGAAAAACTATAACACACTGTTGAAAGAAATTAAGAAGACCTAAATAAAAGGAAAAAAATTTTGTGTTAATGGATTATAAGATTTAATATTATTAATATGGCAATACTCCCCAAACTGATCTACCTATTCAATGTGATCCCTTTCAAAGTTCCAATGGCCCTTTTTTGCAGAAAGTGGCAAGCTAATCCTAAAACTCTAAAGAAATGCGAGGGACCCAGAAGAGTCAAATATTCTTGAAAAAGAACAAAGTTAGAGGACTCACGTTCTTGATTTTAAAACTCACTGCAAAGCTATAGTAACCACGACAGTAGTATTTGCATAAGGATAGACAGATAGTTCAATGAAATAGAATTGAGAATGCAGAAACAAACCTTTCTCTCATTTACAGTCGATTTTCAGCAAGGGTGCCAAAATAGTCGTCAATGAATGATGCTGGGACAACTGAATGGCCACATGCAAAGGAATGAAACTGGACCCCTACCTTACACCATATACAAAATTAAGTAAAAACTGATCCAAGTCCTAAATGTAAGAGCTAAAATGATAAGACTCTTAGTAGAAAGTATAGTTGTAAATCTTTGAGACTTTGGATGAAGCAATTATTTCTTAGATGTGACACCTAAAGCACAAGCAAAAAGAAAGCTGGACTTCATCAAAACAAAAAACTTTTGTGTATCAAAAGATAGTATCAAGAGAGTAAAAAAAAATCTAGAGATTGGAAAAATATATTTGCAAATCATGTATCAAAAAGGGCATAATATCCAAAATATATATATATAAAAGTCTTACGATTCAACAATAAAAAGAAAAATATCCCAATTTAAAAATAGGGGAAGAATTTGAAAAGTCGGTGCTCCAAATATACAAGTGGCCAATAAATACGTGAAAGGGTGATCAACATCATTAGTCATCAGGGAAATGCGATATCACTTCACACTCGGTAGGAGGGCTAGAATTTTTTTAAAAAAGGAAAATAACAAGTGTCCACAAAGACAAAGAAATCGGAACCCAAATACATTGCTGGTGGGGATGTAAAGTGGTGCAGTTGCTTTGTTAAGCATTCTGGCAGTTTCTCAAAAAATTCAAGTTACCAAATGACTCAGTAATTCCACTCTTAGGTATATACTCAAGAGAAATGAAAACATATGTTCACTCAAAAATTTGTACCTGAATGCTCACAGCAGTGTTATTCATAATAACCAAAAGGTGGAAACACCCGGAATGTTTATCCGCTGATCATTGGATAAACACTAAATGTGGCATAGCCAGACAATGGAATATGACCATAAATAAACCTTGAGAACACTATGCGAAATGAAAGAAGTCAGACACAAAAGTCTACATATTTTATGAGTCTATTATATGAAATATACAGAATAAGCAAATCTATAGTGACAGGAAGTAGATTAGTGGTTGCCTGGGGCTGGGGACAGGAAAATGGGAGTGACTGCTAAAGGGTGTGAATTTCTTTAGGGCATAACGAAAACGTTCTAGAATTAGATGGTGGTGATGGTTGTACAACCTTGTAAATATACTAAAACCCACTTAAAATGGTGATTTTATGATACCTGAATTTTATCTTAATGTAAAAAAAAAGATAAATCAACCTTATGCAATGAGTTAACCTCGTTTGGCTTCTAATTCAAACATACATAGCAAACATATATATGCAAAAAGAATTTAAAAAAGAATTTAGAGAATGTGAAAATGGCCTGGGTGTAAAATGACTGCTAATTTTCTTGGATTCGCTAATGACAATGAAACTATGTTTTAAAAACTCCTTTATTTTAGATAAAGTATTTAGAGGTGAAATTATATATCAGTGATTTGCTTGAAAACTGTCCACCTCAAAAAAGTATTGACAAAACGTTGACAATCGTTCATTCCGGGTAATGGGTACATGGAGATTCATGATATTATTATTCTCTTTTTGCCTGTACAAAAATTCTAAGATGATTTTTTTTTGACTGAATTGTTACCATTTCCCCTGCAAATGAGAGAGGCCTGGCAACCCGGAGCCCACGCTCTCTATGACCACACTCAGTGGGAGCTGGAGCTGAACGGCAGTGGCCCCCTTAGATTGAGGATGGGCCCAAGGGTCTAGGGCTTCTTACCTGCTGCAGCTCGAACTCAGTGGAGAATCGTCGGGTCACTCCCTGGATGAGGTTGGAGAAGGAGAAGGAGCCACTACCGTAACTGCAGGAAGCAGGACAGAGAGAGAGATGAACTGTGAGGTGGGCGGAACTAATGCTCAGTGACTGGCAGGCAACTCTATATATCCTCACAACTACCCTGTGATTGGCCCCATCTTATAGATGACATGAAATGACACAACAAAAGGGACACCACTAGGGACCTGAACACAGGTTTTGCTACAGTGTCCTTTTCCTTCAGAGATCACTCCCACCAGCCAGACTTTCTTGCCCCCAAATAGGAAAAGGGATGGCCCATATCCCACCTGGTCTTTCAATCCCAGCCCCCGCCTGACCTCGAGCTGGGTTGATTTTTAACCACTCCCATGCAGTGCCCACTGCCCACTACCAACCCTGCAGTGTCCAGTGCACACAGACCACCCCTAGGGCACCACTGACATGCTCTTAGCAGACTCACTCCTGAAAGAGCGTCTTCCAGTTGCTCTGGATAAAGTCCCAGGCCAGAGACTGCCCGATAACGTTGTTGGCGATGCTGATGATAGTGGAGGTGGCGTCCTGCTTCCGGATTAAGTCAGGGTTCAGGGTGTAACTCAGGTACCTGAGAGGGCAGGAGGCCGCGTTAATGACCACTTCTAAGGGCTGCAGTCAGATGATTCGACAGAGAACCGAGGCTGGCAAAGGAACCCTCCATCTCTCTGCTTCCTTTCCACATCCCTTCACCAGGCCAAGGGCTGAAGACTCCTTGATTCTGCCTCCCTCTTGTACATAGAACACTGAGTCCCTTATGTAGGGTCACTGGCTATGCCAGGTGTCACGCCTGACATGGACCTGGTGCTAGACAAATATCTGACAGTGAATGAAGGAAAGGAGAATACTCGAGCCATGAGCCCTGTACCAGGCAGGGTGGCCACTCCTGTCTTTGATATTAAGGATGGCCCTTCTTTACAGAAGACGCTGCATGAGGCACACAGTAGGAGTCAGGAGCCCTCCTCAAGGGCTTGCGGGGTGCCCAGCTGGACATCCAGCAGGACTCAGGTCCAGCTGCGCCACAGCCCTTGACAGAGAGGGAAACTGAGTTAACGTCAAGTAAAGGCTGAGAAGCAACAGCAGTTAAAAGCACGGGATGTGGCCCAGACCCGTGTGCAGATCTTGGCTCTGGGAGTCGTCAAAGCTTCCGGACTTGGGCATGTTGCTCTGCTTCTCCGAGCCTTAGCGCTTTCACCCATAAATGGGAGCGCCACGCCGCGCATGCGGGTCAGTGAGGACCCCGCGAACAGGAGTGCAGAGGTGCCTGGGAGGCTGCTTCTTTCTCCCGCACCTCCACACCGGTCCCGGGAGGGGAGGGGACCTCATCCAGCCCCGCCGGCTGGTCCCCCTCACCTGTTCAGAATCCAGACCTGCCTGCTGCAGGCCAGGGCTGTTCGGAGCTTGTCGGCTTCATTTACCAGTGTGGCTTTTCGGAATTGCTCCCAGGCGAAGTTCCACTCGTCCTCACCACCCTGAGCGATGGCATTGCAGTAGACGGTGGACCGCAAGTTGGGATGGATCCTGGCGTGGGGTGAGGGTGTCAGGGGTGGAGGAGCAGAGACGGTGGGACCAGGGTCTGATGAGGGCAGGGCTGTGGGCTTGAGGGTCAGATGAAGACTGGGGAGGAGCAAGGGACACACTCACGGGTTATTATCGGTGTTATTCATCCACTGAGAGAAAAGGCTCGAGACCAGCTCCTCGCACTCAGAAAGCCCATTAGAGCAGGCGGTGCTGATGGCGTTAATCTCGTTGTACCTGCCCCCGGGGTGACACTCAGTCAGCTTCCTGGCCCAGACTCTAGCAAAGAGTCCCTGGGCTGGCACACAACTCCATGCAGAGAGGCTGGGCTGGGTTGCTCAGGCTGCAGCCCACGGTGCCTGCTTTGAGCCTTAGGCAGCCTGGGGACCCAGAGGAGCTGGCACAGGGTCCAGCCTCAGTTTTAATGCTTACAATCTGAATGACCAAATCTGTGAAAGGACTTTGGAGTTTGGTTTGGTCCTTTGTGCAAAGAGGCCAGATGGGCCCGCAGGCCACGCACACCCTCTGGCAGGGCCCCCTGCTACTAGGTGGGAGTCACAGCCTGCCTGGCGGCCCTAGTCAGGTCAGAAGTTGGGAGGTCCAGAGGGAAACACAGCTGGGGCATTGCTCTGGACTCCCAGGTCAGGATGGCAAGGACCCCCATGACCTCCAGACCCAGGAGGTCACACTCACTGGTCCATCAGGTTTTCTGGGCGCTGAGTCCACGTCTTGGTGACATTTTTGAAATGTTGGAAGAGGGGTGTGACCTGCTTCCTCAGGTAGTTCTGGGAAAAAGAAATTTATAGCTTCAAAGGGGAGATTCAAGCCTGACCTGCCTGGAGCCCCATGGGGCTCTTGATGTGGGTGGGCAGGTACAGTAAGGACTTAACAGTCACAGGGACAAAAAGTCATGGGCCTTGCCCAAGGCCAGACAGCGCTCATAGGGGCCAGTAGTGGTCTGGGTTTCAGATGACTGATCTGAAGTTCTTTCTCCTCAAAGCCTCAGCAGTTCTAACACTCTAAGCGTCACCCTTTCTTAATATAGGGTCCCACCACCTCCCACTGCCTGACGGTAAGTCTTCTGTGTTTATTGTGGGCAATTTAGAAAACACAGAAAAACATATGCAGAAAATCCAAACCACCCAGGAGCTTACCCGAACTATGATTTCCAAATTGGTGCGCTTCCCCCTTCTTGCTTCTTTTCTACCTATAGCAAGTCTACAATTCTTCATGCTCTACTCTTCACCTGGCATCGTAACGTAAGCTCCACCCCGTGTTATTAAAATCCTTTGTAGATTCTGGTTTAACATGGTAGATCGCCCACCATGAGTGTCAGCCAGAATCCACATCCAAGTGTAAAAGGAACAAACCCCCAAGAATAGAGAGAATAGGAAAGGAAAGAACAGTGAGTGAGTGAGGCGCCCGCACAGCTTAGGAGCTGGAACGCAGGGAGGGAGAGGCAAGTGGCAGAGTGTGCAACAGGGAACCTGCCTGCCGAGGCGAGGAGGAGACGGAAGGGCGGCTTGCTGTGGCAGGCCCGGCATGAGAGGGATGGCTCCGTGGGGGACAAGAGTGAGGCAGGGGCTGTGAACACCACGACCCAGGCCACGTCTGCCGGAGTAATGAAGCTCCCAGCCCTCACTTCCCTCTCTGCAGCAGGCTGCATCCCTCCCACCTCCGCCCTGGGCCAGGCTTAATCAGAGGGGCTCAGAACTGGGGGTCACCAGACACAGTGAGAGGGTGGCTGGACTGCAGAGGGGACCCCAGAGATGATAGTTTGTGTACTGAATGCAGGTGCCCCAGTTGCCTTCCAGAGGGCACCAGCAGCCTCACTGCCCAAGACAGAGGATCACGCTCTGAAGACTGAATGGTCTCAAGGGAACACACTCACGGATACTGATTTTGGAGGGTCCCCACGAGGAGTCACTTGGCCACCCAGTCACCCCACAATGAAGCCCACAGGCGATAAACTCTACCTCCCCACAAAGCTTCCAATCACTTTTTACCGCCTCACTCTCAAATCCTAAGGTGCAGCTCAGCCTCCAACTTGAAAGTGGTGATCAATACCAACAGAAGACTCAGAGGAAACAAGTCAGCGATAGAAAAAGAAAACATCGAAAAAGCCTGTGATGAAAATCCTCCAAGAGTCCAGAGAAGACACTGCACGGATGCCGGAGCTAAGAATGGCCCTCGGAAGTTTAAAGACGTGAGAGAAGAAATGCACACGACCGGCAGAGGAGAGCTGGTGCGCTGCGCCGCGGACAGAGCACAACGTTGAGACTCTGGAAAACAGGAGAGAGAAAACGAGGGGGCCAGTGCGGGAGCAGTAAGTTGGATTAACAGGGGTCCCAGAAAGAGAGGACCTTAAAAAAAAGGGGGAGGGAGAAAGTTTAATGCAATAATGTCCAGAATGAAAGAGCAGAAGGATGCGAAAGGCCCACCAGAAACATAAACATACTACTCTACAGCATGTTATTTAAATAATCACGACAAAGTAAATGCTAAATACTGAGTTGACCCAAAATTGTGATCGAACCACACAGGACGATGGAATGAACCCAAGGGAGGTAGGTTAATGAGTAACAGTGAATTGAAATCATTAGTCATAGTATCTCATTTTCCATGATAGAAAATTAATAATGTGAAAAGTCTTTAACAACAAATGATCTCTTCAAGTGTGATTTAATGGCTATATAACATTCGATCAAATGGACAGCCTAGTTAATGAATCCCCTACTGTCGGACATTTCAGTGTTTTTGTTTTTGGTCTTTTTACAAACCACGCCGCAATGAACATTCTTGTGGATCCAGCTTTTCCCTGTTCTCCCCAGTAGGAGCCCCAGCGCCCCATGCTTCAACGTTATTACCACCTGCATCTCCCTCCTCTTCTGCCCTGTGGGCAGGCTAGGCAGGTATAGGCCTGCTCATTTCACAGAGGGGTCACCAGGGCTGAGTAAGGTTACCCAAGGCCACACAGCTGAGAAAGGACATACCTCCTGCCACCTAGCACAGTGCTCTGTGCCTTCTGACAGTGTGAACTTACAAATCACCAAATGTGGCTGGAGATCTGTGTCTTTTCCTTGCTCTGCCCAACCTGCTCACCTTCTCGGGCCCTGCTCCCTTCAATTCTAATCCTTCCAGCTCTCACCACTCTGCCAAGCCTGCTCTCACAAAGGACCCAGTGCCGCATCCACCTGGAGGGTTTCGCCACTCCGGGCAGTATTTCCACGAACTTCCTAATGGTGCAATTTCAGGTATGGGCCGAATCGGTCTCATGCCCTGCCAGCCACGCCCACTGTACCTGCATGGGGCCGTAGACCTCGGAGCGGTCAAACATGAGCTTGAACTTGTTCAGGCTGCTCAGGGCAGCCTCCCAAGGCATGTATTCTGTCTCTTTGATCAGGAAGAGGGTGTTGTTCAGCGCCAGGGTGACAGAGACAATGTGGGCACTGAAGGACAAACAGAGGGGCTCAAGTAAGCACCCCTGCCCATTCTGCCCCTCTGTAGGAACCCTATTCCCATCCTGGAGCCTGAGGTCCCAGAGCCCCAACTGAGCCAGCCCTACAGTTCACCAGGGGTGGTGGGGGGTGATGCTGGCTGGTGCCACTAACAAGGCCAACCCAGGCCCTGCTCTCACCCATTGCTGGTCACAATTGCTTAGTTATTATCCCCATTTTATATATGAGAAAACTGAGGCTCAGAGAGGTGAGGGGACTTGCCTAAGGCCACAGAGCTCATAAGAGACAGAGCTTAGATTGAAAAGGACAAAAAGCCTGTGCTCTTTCCTCAGCCTACCTAGACTCTGATCTGCTTGGCCCTCTGGGCCCTTCTCCCTCCTACTCCTCAAGCTGTCTGTGCACATTTCGTTCATAAATGCCCATGTCTGTGGGTGACATCACTTACATCAGAGCTTAGCACAGTAAGTACTCAACATGTTTATCCATGCTGTATGTCACCAATCCCATCCATCCCAGACTTTAGCACCTAGCGCAGCAGCCTGGTACAGTTAGCCCTCAGGAAAAGCTTGGTGCCATGGAATACAGCGTGGTTTGGGAACTGGACAGGCCTGAGTCTGGCTGTCTTGGACCATGTGGCCTCAGGTGAGGTACACAAACTCTAAGGCTCAGATTCCCCATCTGGGACATGGTGCTGTACCACTAACAATCTCCGGGGGGGGACAGGGTGAGGGAGAGGTGCGCAGAGTACGGCGAGCCCCTGCACTGTCCCTGGCACACAGTGAGGACAACTGATTCTCACTATGGAAATGGACTTGCTGAAGTCACCAGCCCTTCCCGGCAGAGCCAGTCTGGGCCTGAGGAGGAAGGGGACACTCACCTGGCCAGGTCGAAGGCATCGTGGATGACCTGAGCCCGATTGATGACAGGGATGGCCTAGAAGGGGCAACAGAGTGTGTGACCTCAGGGTGTGTCCTAGTGCTAGGCCTGGGACGGCGGACGGGGTGGTGGTGGCAGACACCCACCGACAGGTTTGTCTGCAGCTGAGTCTGAATCTTCCTCCAATTGTCTTCATCGTAGTTCACCTGGTAATAGCCCGTCACATTGAGGTTCAATAGGACCCACTCGTCAGCCGTGGTTTTGAACAGATCACTCTGGGCTGTGGGGAGAGACCAGAGCTGGGGCAGGGCTGCTCAGAGGACCACGGGCCTTGGCCCTCCTCTCTCCAGGCCTCACAAGAGCAGACTCCATGCAGCCTGGAACCAGGCTGCAAGCCTCTGGAGTGATGCCAAAGAGAGAGGAAGAAAAGGGGTGTAACACCAGGTGGCCAGGCAAGCCTCTGCCTCTGGCTGGCTAGTGACCTCAGACAGAGCACATGTTGTATCTGAACCTCAATGCCGGCCCTGCCTGTCGCAGGCTCTGTGTGGCTAGGCCAGCGCCAGCTGCCCGGACATCTCTATCCACACCCCCCCAGGCCACTCAGGCTCAACTCCCCAGGCTGCCGCCCCTCCTCTGGCCTCTCCTCCGCTTCCTCCTCTCTCTCAGCTTGTAACAGCCCTGTCGCACCCCAGTCACCGGGTGGGAAGTCCAGGCAACCTGCCCACTCAGTCAGCCCCCCAGAGCTGCTGCCCCTTCCCTGGGGTCAGTGCTCCTCCTCCCTGCTCTCCCTTCCACCCTTTCCGCTGGCAGCCAGAAAGGAACCTTCCATACCTGCAGGTCAAACGCAGTAGTCTGCCCACTTCCCACCTGCCCCAGCTCTCCTGGCCCAAGGACATGGCCACTGTCTCCTGTAGCCTGCAGGGACCTCTATCAGTCCCCACGTTCTCTCCTGGCTCTATGCCTCGCACTTGCTGTTCCCGCTGCCTGGAATACTCTTCTCTGCCACCATTAGCCTAATTGCTACTTTTCCTGGACCCAGCTCACCTCCTCCAGGAATCTCCCATATTCCTGGCCCCCTTGCCCCAGTTGCCCAGAGGCTATACATGCCTCTGTTAAAGCACTCAGCACAGCTCTGGAAAGTTTTAACTGCTTGTCTTCCTTCCCTTCGTCCGCAGCCTTGGCTTAGGTAGAGGCAACTCGCCTTGACCTTGGTTTCCTCAGTGCCTGGCAGAGTAGGACTGCTCATGCCATGTGCCAGGCACTGTTTTAAACACGTTGCATGGACTATCTCCTCTAATCCTCACACAAATCAGTGGGGTAGATGTTCTCAGCCTCATTGCACAGATGAGAAAATGGAACCCAGGAGGGCTGGTGACTTGCCCAGGGCTGGGTGGCAGAAGAGTAGAGACCAAAGAAGTCAGCTCCACTTGGTGAATAAAATGATGAAGGAAGCCTCGAGAGGGCTGTCGTGACCCCCAGGACATGGGCCAGGGGCTGAGAGTGTGGGGCAGGGGCTGCTGTCCACCAGGGCAAGGCTGGATTACTTTCTCTGGTGTCCTCCAGCCAGTAGCTGTCCTGCTCTACGCCATTTCTGATGGATGAGATGGGAACGATCCACAGGTAGCTGCAACAAGAGACCCAGAGGCCGGGTAGTGAGAGATGGCAGCTCTTGACCACTGCCAGCGAAGAGCAGCCCTGCGGGGTCCCACTTTCTGCCCTACTCTGACACCGAGCACCCCCATCTTCTTGGCCCAAGAGGGAGAGCCTGTCTACAGCAACCAGGGCTGGGACCATAGCAGGCCAGGCCCTATGATGGTCAGGGGACCCCAGAGAAACTGTCCCTCAGAACCCTCACTAGGATGTTTGCCACAGCAACCCTGTCTGCTTACTTGAAATCTGAGGGGCGGGTGACATTGGAATCGGGGTCAAGGAGGAAGTGCTGCTGGGAGATGGACCCTGTCGTGGTGTCCACGGTGATGAGTGGAAATCCCATCTGCAGGATCCAGCGGTCCATGATGGCACTCACAGTGTTGGGCAGACTGATGGACGTCTGATTGTCTACCGCCTTGGGAACAGTGACATGGTATGGCTGTCAGCAAACTGCCACCCCCTCACCCCATGCAGGGCAGCTCCTGCAGCTCCTGCAGCCCCGGCCTCTCCGGGAGGCAATGGAGGAGCACTGGGGAGCACTGGGCTGAGGCCCAGCCCAGTTCTGCCTTTCCTCAGCTGCCCAGTGCTGGGTGAGCAAGAACTTCCTGGCCTCTGGTTTGTTCCTTATCAACTAAGCGAAGCTACGTGGCCCCCCATTCTGCGGCCCAACCGGAGGTGGGCATGTATCAGGGAGAGGGGTCCAGGATGCCTATGGTTTAGCCTAACGATGCTGAGAGGATGAAAAGGGAGAGACAGGGGAGGGAAGACCAGTGTCTCAGGCGGGGAGAAGGCTGTGGGCACCCAGATGGGGGTCTGGGAACAGGTTCAGAGCGGTTGCTACTGTCTTCTTAGGTCTTTTTTCATCTTTTTTCAGGCATGCGCATTGCTTTTTTTTAAAAAAAACAAAATCCCCAACATCTGTTAATAACTGAGAAAATAAACACAGGGCAAGAAAGTAGGCAGAAGAGCATGTCATAGGGTGCAGGCTGAGAGGGGAGGGGAGCTCTGGGGGCTACAAAGAGAGGGTGCTCAGGGGAAGAGGGAGCAAGAGGAAGGGATCGAGCTGGAGGGGCGCCCAGCAGGAAGGAGGGCTCTGCTTTACTGGACAGAAGGAGTGGGAAAATGAGGCGGGGCAAGCAAGACAGTAACAGCGGAGGGGAGGGACGGAAGCAAGGAGACGCCATGTGTCAGTAGGCTGGGGTTGGAGGAGGAGGTGGACCAGGCTCGTGGAAACTGGAACTTGGGCTAGAGACTAGTCAGGAGGGTACACTGCAACCCAGCTGTGACTCTGTGACAAAGCCCGGGGTCTCCTCTCCCTGGTCAGACTGGCCATGGAGCATGGGCATCTGGGGACTAGAGGAGCAGCGGCGGTAGTGGGGGAGCACCTGGCAGGGGAGTCTGGGGCCTAGGCTTCCAGAGGGGTCAGCAGGGCTAAGTAGGGCCTCAGGGAAGGGGTGGGGGCAGCTGTGAGAAAGAGGAAGAGATGGGAAACACAGGCGCAGGCAGACTCTGGCCCTAGCAGAGGCAGGGAGGGGAGGCAGGAGGGTGGGGGGTGGTCAGAGGGTTTGCCCTTCAGACCGGGGCTGCTCGGAGTCTCAGTGGACAGGACTGCAAGGTGGGACCACATGGGAGGGTTGGAGTTTGTGCTGAGGATGCTGGTGTGCAAAGTCGTGCCTAGGAGGAGCCAGGAGGGCACAGGGCAGCCACGAGAGCTGAGCAAGTTGAATAACTGGCTCCAAAGTTCCAGGCAGAGAAGGGCCTAGGCGTGGGAACTGTGGGGGCCTGTGTGCTCAGCACTAAGATGAAGGGACTCCTCAGCTCCCATCACAGAGCTTACTACGGCATGAGACAAGCCACCTGCTGGGGTCTTGACCCACGGTCTGTTACACCACCACCTTTAAGGAGCCATCATGGTGGCCATTTTACAGATGGCCAACCAAGGCTCTAAGTGGTCTGCTCGGGTTGGTAAGCGGTGAAGCTGGGCACATTCTCACAGACATGTGCTGTCCCCAGGGACTTCTAGCAACTTAAGACCCCAAGGGAATGGCTTTAGAGGGGGCTGGCTATAACTTACTTTCTGCAGGTGCTCCCACAAGTCCAGGTAGGTGGTGCTCTGGTAGGCAAAGGTGTGGAGATAGGACTGTGGAAAGACAGGACACGGTGAGGGCAGAGCTGGTGTCCCCCAGGCTCTACCACTCAACCTCTGTGCCACTATGGTAGGCCAGGGCTCAGGGACAAGGGGCAGGGGCTGGAGGAAGCTCCCCACCCCTCCCCGCCAGACCAATGGCTGGCCAAGTGCACTCACCGCCAGGCCCTTCTTGAACAGGTCCTCAGTCAGGAAGTTGGAGAGCATCCTGAGGACCGAGGCTCCCTGAGGGAGGGGAGGGCAGGGGCTCAGAAGACTGTGCTGAGCCAGCAGGATCTTGTGACACCATTGAGCTGGGACAAGTGATCCCGAAGCTCCAGCTGCAGTGGGGCCCCTTGGGGCTGAGTCCCCACCTCCCTCCTTATGGTCCCCACTGTCTCAGGAGCAACAGGAAAGCTGGGGTGGCACCTTGCTATAAGAGATGGAGTCGAACATCTCGCTGATCTGGGCCGGTGTGCTGACCTCCTGGGCAGGAGTGGACAGCGGGTGGGAGGAGGCCAGAGCGTCCACGGCCATCACACTGTACACGTCATTCACCACCATGAGGTCTTTCTGAAAATCCCCAGAGGCCATCAGCGGACTGGTCTGGGAGGGGTGACCCAGGCCTCTCCCTGTCCCAGCCCCCACCCCAGACTCCAGGGCCTCTGCACAGAATGCTCACCAGGTTCCAGGTGGGTTCTGCGTAGTCAGCACCCAGGTACTCTACGTAGGAGGCGAAGCCCTCGTTCAGCCACAGGTCATTCCACCAGGCTATAGTCACCAGGTTCCCAAACCACTGTGGGGAAGCGGGGGTCAGCCCGGCAAGCTACTCTAGCCTTGCGGTCACTATTAGCACTTAGAGAGACCCTTCATGAGTGTTCCCATGTGCCAGGCCTGAGCTCAGAACTTTTCTGACATCATGGTGACTGCCCCCTGCTACTCTGCCAGTGGGAGACCTCCTCCCTTCTCAGCTGCCAAGGGCAGAGCCAGGTCCTGTGCCATCGCCTCCCAGAGCCCCCGATTCTTTCTCTGCACTGCCCATGATGCAAGCCTACCTGGTGGGCGAGCTCATGAGCGATCACGGTGACCACCCGTTCCTTGTTGCTGGTGGAGGAGGAAAGCGAGTCAAAGAGCAGAGAGTTCTCCCGGTAGGTCACCAGCCCCCAGTTCTCCATGGCTCCAGCGTTGAAGTCAGGCAAGCCAATCTGGTCTGGGGAGGCCAGGAGGTTGGCAGGATGGCCTCTGGGTGTGGGTCCCCCTGCGCTGCCCCCCACCACGAGGCCTCTCACTCACCAGATTTGTCGAGTGGGTAGGGTGTGTCATAATGTTGGGCATAGAAGCTTAGGATGGGGCCTGTCACGTTCAGGGCATACAGGCCTTGATTCTCCCTGGTTGCACTAGGCCGCGCCCAGATCCGGATCTACAAAGAGGACAGAGGTAGGCTAGGGGCGCCTCTCGGGTCCTGGTGCAGGTGGGCCAAGTCCCAGGGCCTGGAGGAAGTTACACTCG